TATGTGGTAAATGTAGAAAAATATATTAATCCCTCTAATGAACTACTTACAAAAACCGAACCGAATATACCTACCAAAAATATAAAACTGTGTTAAGTAAATACTTTTTTTAACTCCAATGATTTACCTTTGAGCAAGCCGAATTAAGAGGAAACTGCCAATGTATAACTTTCGGTAATTAATAAATAATTAATATGCCGAACAAATATTTAACTACGTAAAGGTAAATGTGATGAAACGGTATATAGGCCGATCGATATGATATATTTATATAGGACCAAAGTAATAGAATCAGCAAATAGGATTTTGGATTGGAGGGTTTGTCAAAAAGATTACCAATAAGCACCCAAGAACTCAATCCTGCCGACACAGTCAATGGTAACAGACGGAAAGAATTATACGAGAGGATGACAATGCTTTTTTGTACAATCGTCATGTAATAATGAAAATTTAATTTTCTATTTATTAATACTGACTTCTACTACGCGTGTTTAAATTTATGCCAAATTATTTAAAAATAGTCATAAAATTCAAATTCAAATAACAGTATTTTGTGCAATCAAATTTCATGGGTTTAACAACTAAAAAACTGCTGATTGTTTAGTTAGGACAGATTAACTGATACTTCAAACAAATAAAACAAAGCTATAGCATAAATTCATTATTATTACTAATCAAACTGCAAAGAGAGAGCCATCTATTGTTTCTTGAGTTTAAAAACACACAGTTAATATAAGGCGACACCATTAATTTAGAAATGCAAACTCTATTTTTGTATGTAGACCAGGGTCGATAATTTTTGAAACCAAAAAAATTATAATATTATGAAACCCATTGGAAAATAAAGAGAATATAACAGAAATGAAAGGAAAAATAATTTACTGGCGATCTGAGGTCCGGAAGGGGTAGGGGGTGAGTTTTTAAGGGTAAAAAACAGTTTCTCTTGATTTCCAGAAAAACTACAAGTCTTATGGAAAAAAGTTAAATGACAAAGTTGTAGGTTTTTTATTTCTTTTACAAAAAAAAAATTTTTTCACGAAATTTGGTGAAAACACGCTGTAATTTTTTTATTTGAAATATTTATTTTTTCACCTTATTTTTACTTAATATCGAAAAAGCACCCTAATTTTCAGTCGAAAATTCTCACGTCTAAATATCTGCTTTTTTAAAAACGTCGGTGGGCTTTTTCTTCGTTGAAATCTCTACTTTCTGATGGTGTAAAAAAATATACATTATGGTAAGTTTTCTCAGGAAATGCAAAGAAACGAAAGAAGATTCTACAACATTTTCAAAATATTGTAGATGTCTTATTAAATATTAACTTTATTAACTTATTTGGTTGTTAATTATAATAGTATATTTCGACTTGTAATTTTTTTATTTATTAATGTAACATGGAATCTTACGTTTTTCGAGTAATTAAAGTGTAAATTTTAATAAATAGCTCAAAATTGTACATAATGATTAGAAAAAAATTTTCGGATTCTAGTTTGTTTCTTTGCATTTCCTGAGAAAACTTACCATAGTAATGTATATATTTTTTTACTCCATCAAAAAGTAGAGATTTCAACGAAGAAAAAGCCCACCGACGTTTTTAAAAAAGCAGATATTTTGACGTGAGAATTTTCGATTGAAAATTAGGCTGCTTTTTCGATATTAAGTAAAAATAAGGTGAAAAAATAAATATTTAAAATCAAAAAAATTACAGCGTGTTTGGGACATAAATAGGTGAGTTTTCACCAAATTTCGTGAAAAAATAAATTTGTTTGTAAAAGATAAAAATAAAAAACCAAAAATTTGGTTATTTGAATTTTTCACATAAATTTTGAGGTTATGTGAAAAAAGTGTAAATACAAAAGTTGTAGATCTTTTTATTACCTACAACTTTGTTATTTAACTTTTTTCTATAAGACTTGTAGTTTTTCTGGAAATCAAGGGAAACTGTTTTTTACCCTTAAATACTCACCCCCTTCCCCTTCCCGACCTCAGATCGCCCGTAAATTATTTTTCTTTTCATTTCTGTTATATTCTCTTCCTTTTCCAATGGTTTCATCCTACTATTATAATTTTTTTTCACTTTTTACCATATTTGAAGGCTTAAGCACTGGTCTAATGGGCTAGCCTACCCTGCTAAAAATGCCTCAGGCATTACAGTAATCGCACTCGAGCAACAAGTGTCTACTTTGTTCGTATAATTTCAAAAAGTTCCATTAAAAGTAAACACTTAAATAATTTAAATTATTACAAAGATATTTATCACATTTGTTCAGTATTTTTATACAAAATAAGTTCGTTTCTTTCACTGGAATGACTACTAAGATGATTGTGGCAAACGTTTTGTATCAAGTTTTTAGGAATTTGACTCTATTATTGCGTTTATAATTTAATTATATAATATTAAATATTAGCTGTAAATTTTACGCAAATTTTAGAACAATTTTTAAACTTTTTAGATTTATTCGTTTTTAAAATAACATCAACGAACATCATTACAAATATTTAATTATCGTTAAAATAATATACCTGCCAATATGCAATTATCCCGAATTCAAATATTATTTTATGCCTTTGGATATTTATTTATTTTATATTTTGTGTAATTCCTGAATAAAACACCCTTTTTCAGTCGTGGAACTATCGTACCCCTAAAAAACTAACCATTTCTTAAATAGCAATCAAATTATTTCAGTTCCGTCGTTTTTATCTTAATTTTTCCCCTCACCTCTAATTAAACTTATTTTCACATTTGCTTTGATTTTATCATTTACCTCGACAAATTGCCGACACAGGCAAATCAACAGGAAATTTTCCACCGACGAGAGATCGGGGCATATGTATTCTTTCAGCGGCACATTGTGTGAACATAGCTCGTGTGAAATATAGCAAGCTTCCTCGATATTTCAAACCGGATTTAAGCCTGCCATGTTCATTCTTTTATCAGTTAAATTCGATACATGTTACGTGAATAGAGAAGTCCGTTTGAATCCGACACACAGCCACAAAATATTCATAGGTTCGGAATTGCAGCTGATGCCCATATTTATTCTTTTTGTAGAAGTGTTAGAGTACTTTTCAGGAAGATTACATCGCGATTTCAATGCAATGCGCCAGAGGGACATTTAGGCCAAGCAAATAAGATTTTTACTCGAAAAAAGTCCTATCCGCGAGATTATTGTAAAATTGTCTAAAGGAACATAATACAAGACATCTCTCATCTCGTGAGTCAAAAACTTTTGTTAGCTAACTTTTCTATTTAAACAAATAAGTGAGGAAAACAGTTTTTTCACTGTGCAGGGAAAACCATCAATTTTAGCGAAAAGTCACTCTCAGACAGCTTGTAGGGAGTAAAATTATCTACAAAATGAGACTTGTGAAATTAAAATCGGTTAATTAACAAACAAGTTATTGAAAAAAACAAGAAAAGTGCCCATTTTTTAATTTGTTTATAACTATCGCATTTATTGTTAAAATTTTATAAAAACCTATAACAAGTTGAGGATTTTGTCATACTTTAAAAGTGTGCCAAAAGTGGGCGCTGTAGGTGCAATAGTTTTCGCACAATTCAATTTGTTTATAACGGAGGCTCCAAAAGTTATGAAGTTCAAATTGATGCGCGCTGTAAAATTTTGCAATAGAGGGAGATTTGGTGTATCAGTTTTATATGGTCATGATTCCCGCGGTGAGTATTATTATTTAAATAAAATTTGTTTCAAATCAGCTATTTTCTATTTCTATTAAATAGGAAGGAAATATTTGTATTTATAAACGATTTATGAAATTGTACCAATAAATCATTGTTACAAGAACATTTGTTGGCACAAGAATAAATACAAATATGAATTGTATTGGGACGACTGACGCATCAATATCATATATTGATCCTACGAACAAGGTAAACTGTCACGATCTGTTACCGACACACTTGTAACTTAATCCGTTTACTGTTGTCAAATTGCACCGTATGCACGATAATTCTCAAACTCATGGCAAATTGGAGTTCTGGAAGTAATGGCAACTACTCGAAATCAGCCGGTTGTACCAACTAAGGGGAAATTCACTGTGTTACTGCAGTCAAGATTATTTAAAAAACTAATAGCAAATTTATTTAGAGTCGTTTTTGACCCTAGAAACGTCAAATATATACCGATGACGTGGCAACTAGTTAGGAAATAATTGTCCAACTAAATAAATTGTCATTATTTATTGAAAATACTTTGGAATTCATTATAATAAGTCCTTTTACCTTCTACAACCAATTTCAGGAGTTTCACTGTATATCTACTATAAAAGTAGAGTGATAAATGTCGAAATGAGCATTTTGTTTCATTTGCTGCGTTACAAAAATAGAGCGAAATTAAGAGATTATTTGGTGCCTGTTTTGCTTCATATTATTGTGTACATCTTCAATTGCATCTATAACATCTTTTCCTTTGACTTTTTGAAGAACCATTGTAAATAACCACTCAATTTGCAGTACTGGACAATATAAAATACACTAACTATTGGTCGACGTGGGATATCCGGAATTGTAGGATTTGTTGAAGTATTTATTAAGAAAATTGGATTTTCTTCTGTTTCTCCATTTCCCGTACAAATCTGTTTGAAGAAGGAATAAGGGAGAAATCACGTTTCTTAACAAAGGGCGGTAAATATTTTATGTATTACCTTTTGAGATGAATGAAAATTAAATACAAAGGGTTCGGTGGAGGGGTTTTGAAATAACAAGAAAAGCAAAGTGTGAAATTCATTAGATGGCCTATAATGAGCAAGAAAGCGGCCCTAATTGCTGCCTTGTGTAAAAAACTGTTTGCTTAATTTGTTACGTAAGAACGTGTTTTCAGGTAAAAAGGAATTTTTAACTCTCTTTCTAAAGTAAATGAAAACAGTGTTTTTTTACAAATATTCAAAGACTTCTAAAAAATTTGACTGTTTTCTAAATTATTTAAATGGAATGGACTCGGTATAGTTGCACTGATTTGATCAAACAAGAAACACAATGATACGAACAGGATACATTTATTTATTGGTACTGAGTACAGATTATACACGTAACACGATACTGTAAAACTGAAAAGTTTATGTAATAATTTTGCTTGCTACACAGGCAGCAATTATTGCCAAAGTCTTCTCTCCTTCAGACTCGCATTCGTCTACCTTAGTAGAAGCGCATTCTTTTACTTTGTCCTCCAACTGAGCGATCAAGGCGACAGTGGCTGCTACGTCAGCCTCGATTTTGGTGGGTAAGCTAGTGATGTCTTTTTCGATTTGTAGCGCCAATTTGGCCAAGCATTTCACCGCCTTAAGTCCGTGACCGCAGTCCTTGATTTCTTGCTTGATGTTCTCTACCTCCTCGACGACCTTTTTCACCTAGAAAACAACAGTTTAATAGATTTTCTAAATGCATCAATTAATGTGATTACTTACCGCATCTAAAGCATCTTGTGCATAGGAAATGCCTTGATCAATCCTGTCGGACACGCAGTGCACCATATCTTCAGTAAAAACATTCGGCAGGTTCACCAGCTTATCTTCGTTGCCCGCCAGGCAATCGTCGATGTTAACGCCAGCATTGGCAGCCTTTTCCTTCAGTTTGTCCAGTTCTTCTCTGAACTTGTCTTCGGTGCTTTTCATTTCTGATTCTGCCGATGCTTCGATGGCTGCTGCAGTTTGGTCTACTTTGTTTCTGGCGTCGTCTAGAGCCTGTTGGGCTTGGACCAAGGCTTCGTCAACAGCTGCCTCCAGTTTTTCGAGTAGCTTTTCAGCGTCATTTCTCACTTGTGGTACGTCGTCGTTGTCTACTGCATGAGTCTGAGAAAACGTTTTCAATAAATTATATCCCAATGCAATGTTTTACTTCAATAATTCTCTAACTATTACTAACCTTACCCATTTTATTTTTAGGTTTGTAAGTTTGCAGGAAATACTTTCTATAATTCAATAAATACCAACTCAAAAGTGTAGTAAAATTATGTTACCTGTACAAAGACTGCAAAGATTGCTACAAAGAGCACTACTGCCAACTTGCACACCATTTTCTTAATTTTTTTCTTCGTAAAACAACTGCTTCACCAACGGCGGGGTAATGATTTGGGTTCCGAGAAAAATCTGTATTTATATACGACATCCAAACAAAGGGATTTTGATTAGGTTCAAGTGCTTTGTTGGAGCAAAAATATTATTGGTTACACAAAAATAGTTCCAGATAAGATAAAGGGAAACTCCTTGTCTTGTTCTGCAATAAAAAAGACATCAAACTTCAATTAAATAGAAGGTTCAGCAACAATTTAATTGTTATTTTCTGTTCGATTTGATAAGTAAATTCGAAAATTTGGTCAAGTACCCTTTGTTTCTATAAAAGTATAAACAGATCAGAGAAAGTTTGGATAGGTACGTTCGAACTAATTTAGTGACACGAAGATAAGATAAAATTAAGATGCACTTTTTTATATTTTAACGTAAAAAATCCAAGAAAAGTTGGGGGAAATGCTACGTTCATTAAGACAACGAGTAAGGGCTTCCGTAATTGACTTTAATCTAGTTGAAAAATCTGGAGAAAAACGCAGTCTTCCTCATTAAGTAGTTAGCTAATCGGTATAATCTAAAATACTTGGGCAACTGAAAAGCACTTCATTTCACGCTACTGAAACTTCAACGGAAATACTCTTCAGATAATTTGCTTAATGTAGGTCATACACTTCAGAAAGCAGTTGCTACTGATGAACTAGGAACCACGAAATAGCCAATAATCGCAAAAATAAAACTAAGAAACTCAGTTTAGCTTTAGGTAAACATCTCTAGAACTAACGGCATTTCGGTTTAATTTAAATTTCCTCAAAGCAAAGCAAAATATATGCCCATTGTTAAACTACTAATAATAACATCTACTTGACTTATTTTACCTTATAATTTTTTAAGAGGAAAAATAATAGCAAATTGGCATTATTTCTTTAAAGAAATTCCCTAAGTACTTGAAACCCACAACATAACATTTTGACACTGTGCTATACAGGGTATTTTTAAATGAAGTAGCAAAAATGGTACAAGTGAATGTAGAGCCAAAAATAAAAGGATTGAGGTAAAAATACCCTAAATAACAATTTTCTAGAGAGATCCAAAAGATTTTGAGTTATTGATATTGATCTGAAGATGGTATGGATTATGTTTTAGTAATCACTTATTCAATTTTACCACTGCAGCACGAGGGTCTTGGTTTTTACGGAATCCTTTCATTAAAAATTGTAATAAAATATTTGTACAAATTTATTTGTTTTGTTTGATTCTTTCATCTCGTTATGAACTTCTCTTGATGTTTCCTAGTTTCATTTCTTCTAGTTTGATTCCTGACTTTTCCATTCGTTCTCTATTTTTGCTCTCATTTTTGTTACTGCAAGTTTTATTCTTCTTCTGTATACAGGGTGATTCAGAACTTTTCAAAAATAAACATTTTTGATGTACAGGGTACAAATACAATTTAGTAAAGAAAAAATTAAAAAGGACAGTTAAAAAATGATTTAAAAATGTAAAACCTGACTTCGCCTAATGCGACCGGCATGGCGGCAAAATGTGATAAAATCGGACAAAAACTTTCGCAAGGATAGGATTTTATAGAACCTATTTTATATCAGCAAATTCAACTGCTTTTGCCGTTATTGTTATTATCAATTAATAAATTCAATTTGTGGTTTTAAATAATAAAATAATTTGGCATACCTAATGTTACAACAACTGTTCAAACCGACGTGTACACACATTTGGGTTCGTCTTACTCAGTTTCTACGAACTAACACAAATTTTGGCTTGCTTCAACATAATTTAAAATTATATCCATCAACTCCGAGCAAGCAATTTTTGACACTAACTACTAAAAAACTATTGTAAACACTAACGCAACGACGATTGTAAAATCGGATTTCAGTATTCGGAGTCGTTGAAACCAAGTGGCTCTTCACGCGTATTGCGAATTGACTCCATTTCTCATGCCACATCTATTCCCAACTTTTTTTTGAATAAGTTGTGAATCACCCTGTATATTTATTTGTATGTTTTCTTCCAGGTCTTTTAATCGTTCTCACTGTTCAATATTTTTATCACAATTTTCTTTTTTGTACCTGATTCTATCCCAACATAAACTGAATTTTAATTCTATCAATTTCTGTTTTTATAATTATTTTTACTGAATACCTTCGTACAACTTATACATCTTATGTCGTATATAGAATAAGAAGATACTGGTGAACAAATACTATCGGATAACCCTAGATAACAGGCTAACAAAACATTATTATGTTTGTCCCGCAAAGTTTTCACTAAATTAATCCAGCGAAACTTTGGCGTATAAAGAAAGGTTATATGCTGTATAAAAACATAAACGAAAAGAATATCTGGTGACCATCATCACCCCCATTTCCATATAAAGAAACGGTTACTGCCACATTACGACCGCTACCCTAAGAAAACCAGGTTTAATGTACCACTACGTGAAATTTGGAATAATGCTCGAGAGAGCACAAAGTACTATTCGTTCTAATTTCTTTAGATAAAAATATATCTCCCGTCTGGATCTTAAAAAAGCAGAGAGGAATGTTAGTCCAAAAATAGTATTATCAGTTTCATGTAAACAAATGGTTCTCGAATTATTATACAAAGTTTCTCGATATATCTCTAAATCCAGTCCTATAGTTATACAATTTTATTTTTTAAGGTTATTTTTCAAGGTTATTTTAAGGTCAGGATTTGTTTTTTGATAATTATACAATTTTTGATCCCGGATTTTGAAAGAGCGAGAAATTCTACGTTTGGAGACGTAGTTGAGTGAGTTATTTTTTCATTTCAATGTCAGTTGAAGGTCAGATTATAATCTCAAATTACTCAGGGTGGTATCTCGTCAGGACAGCGAGATACCGGAAAAATGACTTCTATAAACGTTGTTTGGATCATCGGGACAACCGCTTGATGACCTTGGATGTGGTCTTAAAAGACATTTTCATATAAATCACCAGATTTGGCTAGGCGGTAAGATTTTCGAATCCATACGATCTGGTTTCCAGGATTTTGAGGCACAAATATGACAACGATCTTATTCAAGAATTTAGACCTACATAGTTCCAGCTTGTGACCATCAATCTTGCCAACCCATATGCTGGAGATGATGACATTGCCCCGAAAGGGAATGCGTGTCAGAATTCGTCCTACGATATTCAGAGGTATTACCTTCAAAGAAAAAAGTTGACCTTGAAATAACCTTGAACATAGCCTCGAAGGTCAAATCAAGTTACCCAAACAACTGTTGTAGATGCCATTTTCCCCATCTCGCTATTCTGACGAGATACTAATCTGAGAAGTTCGAGAGGGACATTTGAACTTTAAATGATTTTGAGAATGAAAAAGTAACTCAACCACGTGCCCTGATTCTGAAATGTTTGGCTTTTTCAGAATGAGGGGATAAAAACCGTATTACTATAAAAAAAAATTGACCTTCAAATAACCTTCTAAATGAGCTAACTTCGTCAAACGGAACCGGATTCGGATTCAGCAACTTCAAAAACGTACGACACATTGATTTTTTTTCCGTGAAGCTGTTTGCTCATATTTTTGCAGGTAACTCTTTATCGTTTAATTATCAAATATGTGATGACACAATAATTGTTAATAATGGAGTAATAACCAAATATTGTCATTGTGAATAAATCCTTAAAATACAGAAATGGATCACTTGCAAAGAGTGTACCTTTAAAAAAATGTCTATTTTCGTTCATAAGAGTTAGATCTAGTTTAGTTAACATAAATTTAATTATCCACAGTTTTTTCGCTCACAAAGAGTTTGCGTTGTGTAAAAACTACTGTTATATGGCATAAACTCTTTGTCGGTGTAGTTTCGACCTTTCTAATTAAAGCAACTGCGTTTGTAGCACGTCTACGGAAAAATTGTCGGCGGCATCGTTCTGTTTGTGAATGTGCCACCATATATCAGTCGGTAATGGTGCAAAATTTAACACGTAATGCAGATTTATGACGAAGATTGGAATTTAACTGAAAAATAATTGCGGGTTCTCCGGAACCAGTAAGTATTTCAAGCAGGACGTATGTCATGTCATGCATGTTAATGGAATTACATCAACAGACATTGGGGGATGGTGATTTTGTCTTTCCCCTAGAGAGCGATATATTTTTATATTAAAAATTTGACAGCCAGCCAATTTTAGTTAGTTTCGTTAACACGTATGGTGTTAATGAAACGTTACAATGATTATTTCGTTCACTGTATCATAACGAGTCTGTTTACATTCTAGACATTCACATTTGCACCTAACAATGTCGTATGTTAAAACTTTTCGCTTCTTTACTATAGAAATTCATAAAGTGAATTCTAAACAATCTTGCATATTTAAAACACTAGACTTGATGTATGCCGTGTCTCTAGAGCATAAAATAGTGTCATTCCAATCGAGTAAAATAAAAAGAGTACTCTTAGCTTTGCCTGCTATTAAAAAATAATTTTCCTTTAATCAAGGTATGACGAAAAAATTTAATTAAATTCGCTCATCTTGTGTATACAGGGTGGTCCCGAGGTAATGGGCCAAAATTCATGGGTAGATTTCCCAAGTAAAAATATTGCGATTTAGCCGAACATACCTTAGTCCAAAAGTTGATAGTTAAAGAGATACAGGGTGTTAAATGTAAAATATTATTTCAGTTTTTTTTAATTTATTCCTTAACAAATGCAAATATCCTCACAAAATTTTGGGGATTGGAGTTCTTTGAGTAAAGGAATTGAAATCTGTTCACATTTTGGTTAAAGTTCATAGAGGGCGCTAGCTGCAGTAGATTGAATGT